AGCACTCTACCCAGGGGACAGCTTGAGGCTCTGTCTCAAAAAAAAAAAAAAAAAAAAAAAGTAACTTATCTTGGACTCAGAAAGAAATAGTTACTCTTTGACATGTTACAGATAAGACCATATCTTTTAAAAAGCTTTTATCCATCCATTTCTAATTTTACTCAGTCAGAAGAAAAACTGAGTCAATTATACCTAAAATTGTTCAAAAGAGAAATCATATTGCATCCTACCCCCTTTTTTAAAGCCAGAAAAGTATGATCATAAAAATAAACCTCTGTTAGCCGAATCAAAGATTCTAGCTGCCTAGTGGTGATTGGGGAGCTGTTTAACCGTTGACTCTGTTTCCGGAGCTCCAGGTAAAAGTCTTGAAGAACTTGTGCAGCTTCCGTGGATAGCCTTGGGTAGACATACTGCCGCGCATAGCCAATGTACTTTCTCAGCAGCTGGTGGGGAATGGGATCTATTATTTCTCCAGGAACCACCTGAAGCATGATAAGAAGGTCCAAGAGTTCAAGGATCAGTAGCAAATAAAATCTTTCTGCTAAAATTACTTGTTTAGATAAATATAAAATTTGAAGAGATTCTCCAAATAAATATCACACTGTAGTTGTAGTTTTTGTTCCAACTGACTTACATGATTTCAAGTGAAATTTACATAAACTCTAGTATCGTATTATAAAAAGTTTTGGTGTGAAAACCTTTCTATGCTACTGCTCTACAATAACCCACATATGAGCTTTGACATTCAAGCAGACAAAAGTGAATGATTAAGAAGAAGAAACAGGATACCTTTAGTCTTTCTGATAATGGCTTCTCAGAAATCACTTCAAGTATAGAAGTACTGGATTCTTGACTGCTCACACGAGCTACTGTAGCACTGCTCACAGTTCTCTGCTTTCCAGCTCTTATTGCAATCACATGTTCAGAGAGGAGATGATCATGATGCTCATTTGGGGTGTCCAACAAAATGAAGACCAAATCAAATCTCGATAGTAGGGCACTCCCCATTCTAAGAAGCATGAAAGAAAGAACAGTGGTTGGAATAAAAGAAAAATAGAGAAAGTGTTCACTTATTTGTTTACTGCTTACATTCCATGTAAAACTTTAAAAAAAACCCACCAAGATTTAGGTTAAAGAAATAAGCAAATAGCTTTTATACATCCATGTATCTACCCAGTCCAACTCCTACAAAGTGTACACAAGAATTACGTGTACTTCCCTGGGTAGGCTGAGGACATGACCCTTTCTCATACAATCAAAACCACTGAATTCTTCTTAATGCCCTATCATCACTAACTGACAAAAATGCTGCATAATATATCAGAAGCTGTGTACTCGAGCAGTTCTTAATATTTTCTATCTGTTGTTTGACCAAAAACATTGAGTCTCTCAAATCACCTATGTCCCATTTAGAAGCAAAAAGCCTACTTTTTTACAAAAGGGCATCTACTTGAAAATAAAAATGCTGTGTTGGGCGGCACCTGTGGCTCAAAGGAGTAGAGCGCCGGCCCCATATGCCAGAGGTGGTGGGTTCAAACCCAGCCATGGCCAAAAACTGCAAAAAAAAAAAAAATG